GGTTGCCATGAACTCTGCCTCACAGGATGATAGAGCAACGGTTCGCTGCTTCTGAGATTGCCAAGTGATTAGGTTCCCGTTGAGATAAAACGCCATCCCTTCGGTGTTTTTCCTGCCGTCTATATCACCGGCGAGATCACTGTCAGTAAAACCGACGAGTTCTTCAGCTCCTTGTCCTCTTTTATATTGAATCCCGCAGCTCATTGTTCCCTTCACATAACGCAGAATATGCTTCACCGCCTGCTGGTGTAAATTGGTAGGCTGCTCCATGTAACGACTCACCATGCCAACTGCGTATGAGATATCGGGTCGAGTATGGGTCAGGTACCTGAGACACCCGATGACACGCCTATACTTGGTGGGATTCACAAGGATTCATTCCATATCCTTTCCGAGCTGCAACTTTGCTTCCATTGGATACTTGCTCGGGTTGCAGTCTACCATGTCGAACTGCTCCAACACCTTCTTTGCGTAAGCCGATTGCTTCATTATAATGTGGTCTTTCTTTTGGTCTATCTCGATACCGAGGTAGTATGAGAGTAGCCCAAGATCACTCATCTCGAACTCCTTCATCATTTGCTTCTTGAATGTCTCAACACCATCAATGTTGGATCCCGTTACGAACAAATCGTCAACGTATACGCCGACGATGAGTACTTATGTTCCGTGATTTCTCGTGTACATAGTCTGCTCTTGAGGACACTTCATGAAGCCTAGACTCATCATTCTCTTGTTAAGACAAGTGTTCCACGCCCTTGGTGCTTGGCGTAGTCTGTAGAGAGCTTTAGACAGCTTGTACACCTTGTGCTCTTCATTCTTGACAATGAATCCTTCAGGTTGGGTGACTGTCGGTCAACTTTTTCGATTGATTAGATTTATTTGAAAAATATGGTATATGAAAATAATTTTTGAAATTTAATTTAAGTATAAAAGATATATAGTTTGAGTTTTAAAAGTATTATGTTTTAATTTTTGTTTTGAAAAATGAGACCAAGTGGATCTCATTCGTCCAATAGTTTGCATAATCGTGTCTGATACCGCGAATACTACACCCTCCCGAAAGATAAGTGTAGACCTCGGCGATAGACCCAATCCTGCAAACTAAGAGATTTATGACATCCGTTTGGTCTGCGAACTTTCTATATATGACCGACAAATTCCCCTATCAAATATAAAGATTAAATATGGTTTATTTTACCTGGGTTCCA